CCACCAGCCTCCCGCCGTTGAATTCAACACCCCCTGCTTGCTCCCTCATCTCTCTGCCCATTCTGGCCCTACTGAACTTCCTACCTTTTCTTGGCCAAAGCCACTAGCATGGTGGCAAGGGGTTCGAACCCCCTGAGTCTCACCGGGCCTCTGTCTACAATCACTCTAGGAGTTTCCTGGTTCTGGGTGAGCACTGAGAAAAATCACTAGCAGGTCTGTGGGACGGGGTGCAGTGGCGGCCCACTGCTTGCCTAGCATTCCAGACACCAGTCCCAGAGATTCTTATTCAAAATTTTCATTTCAACAAAAAATGGGAGTGCTGACCATGCCTACTGAAAACATTAGGGGAGGGGGTGGCGGCTGGGGGGGGGGACTGCTCAGCTCATTGTCTTGATGTCCTACAGTTTCCAATTCTGGTAACAATTGTTACATACTACCCAGCAGGTAAGCCACCCACAGGGTAGGTACACCTCACACTCTAGCTACCCAGTAGATATTTGGCTTAGTTATAAATGCTATGCCAACCATGGTGATGTACACCTTTAATCCCAGCATCCCGGAGTCAAAGGCAGGTGAATCCAGGTTGGGGATTTAGCTCCGTGGTAGCACAAAGCCCTGGGTTCGATCCTCAGCTCCAAAAAACAAAACAAAACAAAAAGGCAGGTGGATCTCTGTGAGTTCGAGGCCAGCATGATTGACAAATGAAATTCCAGGGCAGCCAGGACTGTTACACAGAGAAACCCTGTCTCAAAATGATGATGATGATGATGATGATAGCTACAAAGTCAGATATGGGGTGCATGTGGAAGGCTGAGGCAGGAAGATGGCCAGCTTGGGCTACATAGTAAGACAGTTACAAAAAAAAAAAAAAAATGAGTTTAGATGCAGATAATGAGTATATATCTAGTGACCTGGGCCCTTGACCAGCTAGGCACAGCCTTGAAAGTCAACGTTTCCCTATTATGCCAGATAAAATGGAGGGTGTGGATGGGGGTAGCAGGGAGGGAGAGAAGAGACCTCGGAAATCCTGATGTTCAGTGACCCGCATCGATGACCTGGGGCGTCAAGAGACGGCCACCGTTTTGTGGTAAGTAACAGAGGCAAGAAGGCAGGGTACCAGCAGGTGACTTGCAGCTGAAAGGGTCCCCACACAGTGGCATGCGCATCCCTTCCTGTTTACCGGCTTGCCTTGACACTGTGGCCAGTGTGGCCTGCACACCCAAGCTGGAAGAGGCCCATAGCTCACTGTACCCAGCTTTCTTCCTGGTATCTTTTCCTAACCTTCCAAAGGCTGTGGACTTGACCTCACCTCTGTTCCTGGGCATCTCGGATCCTAGAGGGTCAAGAGGGAGGACCTCTTTGTATATTGGGCCAGTCAAGGATGCTGGACTTCTGGGTGGTTGGTTGTAGCCTCACTTGAGAGAAGTCTACGACCCAGACAACATTTGTTATCCTGTGATGAGGGGACAAGATGTCTCCGGGGAGTCCCCTCACTCCCTACTCTTTAAAGCCTTGGGGGGAGCAGGGGGCCAGAGCACCCTTGTATTCCAGCTACCTTCAGTCTCCCGGAGTTCTGCATGCAGTCCGCTGTTCCAGGGCCACATCGTAAAAAGATTTACAAGACTTTGTAAAACTGGCAGTAAAAACAATTAACTTTAATGGCACCTCGGGTGGGTGGCTGGGTGGGTCGGGGAGAGGCCTCTCCCGCCTCCACTTGCAGAGCAGCAAGCCAGATAAGGGAGGGGACCAGCAGCCAACTTGTCCTGACTTCTCATCTCTCAGTTTTTCCTAGGGACCTTCCCTCAGCCCTGGAGGTCAGAGGTTCAAGGCTAAAGATGAAAAGAGTAGGGTACGGGGACAGAGGACAATTAAGCTTCAGTAGCTGGTACCCAACTAAGGGCTCCTGAGCAAGCCTCTTAATACCTCCCAGGCTCAGTGGTCTCATCTGTGAAATGAGCACTGAGGAGTTTGAGTCTCTCTCACCGACCTGTAAAGATTTTCAAATGACTCCTCCGAAGGCTCCCCCCCCCCCCACGCGCCTGGTACACACGTGTGCTCGAGAATTTAATTTAGTAAGTTCACATTTTAGGAAGTGTGTGCCCCCCCCCCCAGGTGTACACTGAGGTGGAAAGACCCGGCCTTTCTGAAAGGTCAGGGCCACATTTCCGAACCCTGGCTCCGCCAGCCCCACTTAAATATCGGTTTCCTGCTAAAATTGACCTGCTTGTCCGGCTGGTGACCCCGGAAGCGACCCCATGCTCTGGCGAGAGACTGCAGCCCCAGGCTTTGAAAACGACCTGGATTTCTGGAAAGCCAATAAGGAAATGAGAGTGACCAGGGGGTAGAGGCAGGGGTCTCTACCTCCCTGTCCCCTGGGCCTGCCCGGAAAACTCTCATTCTGTGGTTCTCCTTGGCCTGGAGACAATTAACGTTCATTTCAGAAAGCCCTCTGTTTGTCTGTGTCTGTGTGTGGCCCTCTGGGGTTGCCCCAACCCCCAGGGGATGCTGTAGTATAAGGACACTTCCCATTGGCCAGGCACTTTAATTAGCCAGGACATACACAATCGGATCAATGTCATCATGGCCCCCCAACCCCTCCTCCATCCAGAGGGCAGAACTTGTCCCTGATCTCAAGCTGCAAGGACCTCTTCAGCCCCATCCATGGCCCAGCTACCTGGTACTACTATATGCCCAGATGCACCTGAGGCCTGAAAAGAAACTGCCCCAACAGGTTTAAAGATTCCATTTGGGGCTGGGGATGTAGCTCAGGAGGGACAGTGCTTGCTGAGTTTGAACCTCTCAGCACCACATAAAACAAGCCTGATGATGCTCAGTGCTGTAGTCCCAGCACCAGAGAAATGGAAGTATGAGAATCAGGAGTCCAAGGTCATCTTTAGCTATGTAGTGAATACAAGTCCAGCCTGGGTTACATAAGACAGAGGGGGGGGAGGGAGAGAGAAAGAAAGGAAAGAAGGAAGGAAGGAAGGAAGGAAGGAAGGAAGGAAGGAAGGAAGGAAGGAAGGAAAGAAGGAAGGAAGGAAGGAAAAAAAGAAGGAAAGAAGGAAAGAAGGAAAGAAAGAGAGTAGGGGAAGGACTGAGTTTGTTTATTGTAGACGGGGTCTTACTCTGTAGCCCAGGCTAGTCTAGAATTCTCAGACCTCCTGACCCAGCCTCCCAAGTGGTGGGATGACAGGCATACACCACCATGCTCAGCCTGAATAATTTATTGAAAAGCGGGAAGCGCTAGCTAGGACAAAAGAAAAAATACAAGGAGGCAACAGACTGGGAAGAGAGAAGGCTTCCAGTTTAGGGTGCTGGGCACCACAGGGGCCTAGGAGAAAAAAAGCCACGGAGGCAAGGATACCACCCTCAGGTAGAAGCAGGCTGTGTAGCCTGAGGGGAGAGCTTGGCGGGCAGCTCAAGTCAAGGAGAGGAGAGCACACCTGTCAGAAGGGACGCTGTCTAGGTGACCGAGGCAGAGAGCAGGGGAGAGGGTGTGAAAGTCAGGAACCCCCTGTGAGGGTGCTTCTGCTTGCTGCTTGGGGGATGGGAAGCCACAGGAGGGTTTGGAGCAGGGGTGGGGCCTGTCTGCTGCTGACTGAGGCTTTAAAAGCATCTCTCTGAAGCCCAGCACTTGGGAGCCAGAGCCAGGAGGACCTCTGCAAGTTCCGGGACAGCCAGGGCTAGACAGTGAAACCCTGTCTCAAACAAACAAACAAAATTAATTTAAAAAAATAAATAAGCTGAAGAATAACGGTAAAAGGAGAGTGGGTTCTAGGCTGAGGGAAATGGACACGTGAGGTCACTTCCAAGATGGCCCCATGATTCTTTTTTTGTGTCTTTGTTTGTTTGTCTTTTGAGACAGGGTTTCTCGGTGAGCCCTGGCTGTCCTGGAACTAGCTCTGTATCCCAGGCTAGCCTCTAACTCAGAATTCCACCTGCCTCTGCCTCCCAAGGGCTGGGATTAAAGGCATTTGTCACTTCATAAGACTCAAAGTATGTATAGGAACCCGTTTCATCAGAGAGGGCAATTTGCTTAAGACTGGGATCTTTAAAAAACGATAGAAGTGTGTTTTCCAAGACCATGCCTTAAGACATGGTGGCTTTGTTCTCACCCCTTTGCTGATCTTTCAGCTCCTAGGACACTGCCATGGTGGAAGAAAAGCAAGCTCTCCCTGTACTGGGAGATCTGGTCGGGGGACCATGCCATCTTACGTTTGAGCTTTTCAGCCTCAGCAAAACCTTCAGGCAACTGTGACCTGGTCAATATCAAGACCACATCCCAGGGGCTGGAGTTGAACGAAGGTAACGGACCAAATGCCTGCTTCATACACACAGGGCCCTGGGTTTCCAGCACCCCACCTCCACCCCCACCAAAAAGAGAAAAGTTCACAATGGTTATTTCAAGTTCTAAATTCAGAATTACTTGTTATGAGGCTGTAGCTAACTAACACGGAGCGTAAATGCCTACAATTCACAAGAAAAGTGAATAGTGTGGGCACATGCCCAGCATTTGTATATAAAACAGAAGCCAGATCATGGAACTCTTACAGATCACATGATTTCCAGACTGTGCTAGAGACAAGAATACAAACACACACACACACACACACACACACACACACACACACACACACAGCCAACATGGTATCTCACCAGCATCTTCGACTCCAGTTTCAGGGGACCCAATGCCTTTTTCAGTCTAGTACACGTGAGCACCAGGTATGAACTTAATGTATAGCCTGACTTACAGGCAAATCAGCCATACACACTAAAAAATAAAATTAAATTTAAAAAAAATCACAGCTGGACATGGTGGTAATCCCAGTACTTCTGAGGCAGACACATCCAAAGTTCAAGACCACTCTCAGACACCTAGTGAATCTGAGGGATCAAACCTCGGATCTTGTACAAGGCATGGGCAAACCCTCTGTGCAGTCTCCAACATGGCCCACACTGAGGGGGCACCACCATGAGGAAGACACTGTAACTGATTTCCACTGCTCATTCTAGGTGGCCTCAACCAGGCCGACTCAGAACTTCAGCTTTTCCACCCGGACCCATGGGTGTGGTGACCCCTGGTGTTTTCCGACCAGACGGTAAGGTTCTGTGCATCCAAAGCTCTGGTTCCTGGGAGTGCTCTATGCTCTGTCCATCTGCGCTCTTACAGCTATCCCATCGGCTAGCCTCAAAGCATGCAAGCGGTATCCAGCCACAAGCTCCACCCAGCCTGTCTTCAGAGTGCCCGTCCCTGGGCCAGCCCCTTTCCATGCCCTATCTCATCCATCCTCCCCTGTCAGGCTGTAAGCCAGTCATTACCACCACCAAGCCAACCTCAAATTCCCATGATGTTATATCACTAGACAGGTCTCAGCTGTCACTTCGAGGCCCTTAGAAGAGGCCACAGATACCCAGGTCGCAAGTACTTCAAGGATTCTTGGCCTAAGATACAGAATTTTATCCCTTGAGTGGGCACAGGGATCAGAGAACTCAGCCACTGTGCCCAGTACCCTGTCTGGCTCAGGGTCCACTGTGTCCTGGCACTGATATGTCTTTAGTCCTACAAAGCAGGGGGCGGGGGTGCGGAGCAGTGGTTAGAGGTACAGCCTTTCTCTAGGGAGTGATGCAGAGCCCAGCTCTGCCACTTTCTCAAGAGAAGTGACATGACCCCTCAATGCCTCCTCCACCTGTGATGAGAAGACATGGGTGACACCCCTTCCTAGGACGGTCCTAAGAATGGAGGGACTGTACGGGTGAGGTGGGAAACCCGTAGCTCTGCAAACAGCTTCCTGCTCCTCCAAGGCAGGGAATATTTTCTTGTTCCTTCCCTTTATTGGGGTAGGAGCCTAGGTTTCAAGGCATGGTCTTTCTGTGTAGCCCTGGCTGTCCCGGAACTAGGTCTGTAGACCAGGCTGGACTCCAACTCAAGAGATTCACCTGCCTCTTCCTCCTTAGTGCTGAAATTAAAAGTATGTACCACCATTCATGTCATTTATTGGTTTTGTTTTTGTTTTGGTAGGGTCTCTGTGGCCCAGACGGACCTCTCCATCCCCATCCCCCACCCCCCCACCCCCCGGCCACAGTCCGGCCACAGTCCTAACTACTGGTTCTGTAGGGGTCAGCCATGATGCCTAGCTTAAGGAATTTTGGGTTGTTTTAATAAAAGGTTTTATTTGAACTGGGACATGGCTCAGTAGTAGTAGAGTGTTTGAAGGCCCTGGGTTGAGAGAGAGACAGAGAGACATACACAGAGAGCTTTTATCTAGGGTAGAGGAGTGGGTAAAAGTAATAGGGGGAAAAAAGTGTGTGGAAAGAAACTCAGGCGAAGCCAGGCTCCCCGGGGGATTCCCTCAATCCCAACACTCTGGAGGCAGAGGCAAAGGAATCAGTTCAAGGCCAACACAAGCCACAGGGTGAGACCCTGTCTCAAGCCACCAGTGCAAAGCGAGCAAGGGGAAGTGGAGGAGGAGACTGACATGTGGAACCCACTGGTTGTTCTTCCAGAGGATCCCGGTTCAATTCCCAGCACCTACATGGCAGCTCATACCTGTCTGTAACTCCAAGATCTGATACCCTCACACAGATATGCATATGGGCAAAACTCCAAAGCACAGAAAAATAAATAAATATAAAAAAATTTATTAAAAAAAAAAGAAACAGTTGACAATGGATAATTTTCTTTTTTCTTTTCCCAGACAGGGTTTCAGGCTGGAGAGAAGGCTCAGCAGTTAAGAGCACTTGGCTGCCCTTCCAGAGGTCCTGAGTTCAATTCCCAGCACCCACATGGTGGCTCACAACCATCTGTAATGGGATCTGATTCCCTCTCCTGCTGTGTGTAAAGACAGAGCACTCATACATAAAATACATGAATAAATATGTCTTTTTAAAAAATAGTTTTTGTTTTGTTTTGTTTTTTCTGTGTAGCCCTTGCTGTCCTGGAACTCACTCTGTAGACCATGTTGGCCTGGAACTCAGAGATCTGCCTGCCTTGCCAACTGCTGGGATTAAAGGCATGTGCTACCACCAACCTGTAGTATTTATTGATAAATTCACAAATCTTTGACCTCCTGTGTGCATGTGTGTTGGCGTGTGTGTGTTTGTCCAGAGGTTGATGTTGAGTGACTCCCTTGATTGCCTTCCATTCTGCTTCCTGAGGCTGAACCTGTCTCCGAAGGCAAAGCACTTGGAATCTGCTGGTCTAGATGACTAGCTTGCCCCGGGGTTCCCATCTCTGTCTCCCGAGTGCTGGGATGATAGGCACCCTCCACGACTGCCTGCCTTCTTATGTGGGTGACTCTGGTCCTCAGACTTGCACAGAGAGGGTTTTATCCACTAAGCCATCTCCCCAGCCCCTTCCCTCATATAATTTTGATATTTAAAAAAAGAATTCCAAAGATGTTCTTTATAGACTGATTACGTTGTCTCAAAAATCCTAATTTGAAGCCCCACTCCTACATGCCTCAGAATGTATAGAGGAGGAGGAAGAGAAGGAGGAGGAGGAGGAGGA